GTGCCTACAGCACTGCTGAGACCTACTAATTCGGCACCCTCGTTGCTATTGGTTTCATGATTATAAATTTCACATCACTTTCTTAAGGTGTAATTTACCTACCATACAATGCACCCATTTTGAAAGCAATTTGAAGGTTCTTAGTAAATGCGTATAGTTGTGCAACCATCAACACAATCCAGTTTTAGAACACTGTAGTTTTTGCTTCCCAAAGAACATTGTAAGCGCCCAAGGTAGGTCCAGGTCTCCCTGGCTGCTGTCTCCGCTGACCTAATATTGCATCCCACATCCCCATGCCCTGGCTCGTCCCCTCGTGCAGCACTCATTCCCTTTCCTGTCAGCTGACACTGTTCTGCACCTGCTGCTGTGACCCCAGGCTCTGGGCCCTCCCCAGTTGTCTCCACAGTGCAATTCTGCTTCTTTCTCTCCCCATGTGCCAAGCTCTGGAGGCCAGTGTGTGGTCTTCTGCAGAGTCTGAGGTGGCGGTGTGTTCTGGAAGCACATGGGCCCCGGTGCCCCAGATCAACATTTGAATCATGCTCCAGAAAGTCACTGTATCTTCTGGAACCCTGGTTTCTCCCTTTGCAAAGTAGATGCAATACATGTACCTTGGAGCGGGAGGTAGAGATGATGTATGTAAAGTGCCTAGAACGTCTCCACGATGCTCGGTAGATAGCAGTGACCACTGCTTTACAGTTACCATCAGCCTGCTGCCACCTTTATCATCGGCACTCATGAGTCCTCTGCTCTGGGTGCCCATTTGCCTTTCTCTTCCAGGCATATCCCTGGCTGCAGTCCGTTTGTTTGTTTGTTTGTTTGTTTAAAGATTTCACTCACCCATTGGTCAGAGACAGAGAGCACGAGCAGGGGGAGCGGCAGGCAGAGGGAGAGGGAGAAGCAGGCTCCCCACTGAGCAGGGAGCCCGATGCAGGACTCGATCCCAGGACCCTGGGACCATGACCTGAGCTGAAGGCAGACGCCCAACTGACCGAGCCACCCAGGCGTCCCTGCAGTCCCTGTTTTCTAGGTTACTCCCGGTATCCAGGGAAGAAGATGGATTCTGGGCACCCCCAAGGCCCACCCCTGCCAGGGCTGGGGGTAGGTCAGTGGGACGAAGCAGCAGCACCACCTAGTGGCGATGAGCCGCAGCAAGTTACTTATTGGCCAGGTTAGTAGCTAGTCTGACTGCACACTTGAAGTTCAGCGTTCCATCCAACGCTCGCGTGTGAGGCTTGTGCGTGCACGGCGCCATCCTTCCCATGCCATGCGTTAGAATAAAAGATGAAAAAAAATGAAAATCAAAACAGAAGTTCTTCGCATGATGCTCCTAGAGACCACAGGGTGTGACAAAGCAATTTAAAAAGCATCTCTGAGGGGCGCCTGGGTGGCTCAGTCGTTAAGCATCTGCCTTCGGCTCAGGTCATGATCCCAGGGTCCTGGGATCGAGCCCCGCATCAGGCTGCCTGCTCAGCGGGAAGCCTGCTTCTCCCTCTCCCACCCCCCCTGCTTGTGTTCCCTCTCCTGCTGTGTCTCTGTCAGATAAATAAATAAAATCTTTAAAAAAAAAAAAAAAAGCATCTGACAGGTCTAGAGACAGAAAGACCAATGAGTGATTAGTGGTTGCCTAGAACTGGGGGGGGGGGGGGGGGGCATCTGAGAGAGATGGGAGGTGAATGCTAAATGGTACGGGGTTTCTTTTCAGGATAAGGAAGATGTTCTAAAATTGTGGTAATGGTCGCACAGATCTGAGTATACTAAAAACCACTGATTGTAAACTTTTAAATGGGTGAACTGTAGAGTAGGTGAATTATCTCTCTACAAAGCTGCTACCAAAAAAGGTGAGGCGAGTATCAAAAGTTTCAAAGGGAAAAAAATTTCATCTCCACAACGCATCATCAGATTTTCTGTGTACCGTTTGACAACCTCCATCAGACCTGTGGGCAAAGGTCTCCGGTCACTTCTAGGTGTCCTACCTCACTTCACTTGAAACTTCAACCCTCCTGTGCTGAGCAACTCACATGGAAATATTCCCAGCTCTGTTAAGACATTATTTAAAATAGATCTAACCACAGGACCCACAGTCTATAGAACTGACTCACAGAACCCCTACATTACCCCATATTGTTGGTATCCACACAGAGCTGTTGTATCCCAGGTCAGCCTGGGAACTTCCATTTCCAGGAGGAAAGGGAGGGTCAGCGGTTGAGTAGCCCAACCGAATCCAACTAGTGAATGGGCAGAGCTTTAATTTCAGCTTCGGACTTTGATTCCAGGTTCAGAGCTCTTACCATTCTACAGGTGACCACACAACCCACTTTCTGCCGTGTCCCACGTAATTACTGGCGGCACCGCATTCCCTCTCAAGCTAATAAACGCCACGGTCCCTAAGGGGTAGTCTTTCCCTGGGGTTCTGCCTCATCTGGACCTCAGACTGATGCCTCTGGCCGGAGCGTGGTCAGGCCAACAGCACCTCAGCACTCCCTGAAGTTCCCACTAGCTCCCCAGACCCCTCACCAGCCCAGAATAGGCAAATCCAAAGAAACAAAGTAGATTAGTGGTTGCCGGGGGGCTGGGGGAAGGGAAGAATGGGGAATGGATGCTAATGGATCCAGAGTTTCTTTGGGGGTTGTTGAAAATTAGTAGTTGTGGTTGCATATACTAGAAACCACAAAACTTTAACATACATACATACCTAAACACTTAAAAAAGGAAGAGGAACAGGTGAGGGTAGGACACAGCAATGTGCTTGTTGAACAAGCATCCTGGCTGGTCTCATTAGCATTCTCCATGGTTAGAAAAGGACAGAGCACTCAGCAGGATTAGAAGGTAAATAGAGCAAGAGAGAGATTAAATGTAGCCCCCCCCCCCACCATCCCACTTCCCTTCTCCTATAATGTTCATCAGTTTGCGGCCAGCACTGCTGTTCACACTTAGACATCAAGACATTCCCAGGGAAACCCCAGAGCAAAGTGTGCAAAGGTCTGAGACACTGAATCTGCACAACCCTATTAGGCAGGTATTATTATCCCCATTTAACATTAAGCAGACTGAGGCTCAGAGATACAGAAGCTAGGAGTAAATGGCCTGAGTAAATGGTCCCTTACTAGCTGCTGAGGCCAGCAGCTAGTAAGGGACACAGCTGGGATGTCAACATGGCATTCAGGGACCCAAGTCCAAAGTTCAAAGTAACTACACTGAGGTGGCCCCACTTACCCCTAATCAGCAGCCCTAAATCCTAGAAGACCACAGCTGAAAACTATCAGTGAGGAGTATTGGTAAAGGCATAAAGTAAGTCTGCCAAGATGGAGGGGAGGGGCGCCTGGGTGGCTCAGTCGTTAAGCGTCTGCCTTCGGCTCAGGTCATGATCCCAGGGTCCGGGGATCGAGCCCTGCATCGGGCTCCCTGCTCAACGGGAAGCCTGCTTCTCCCTCTCCCACTCCCCCTGCTTGTGTTCCCTCTCTTGCTGTGTCTCTCTGTCAAATAAATAAAATCTTTAAAAATTTTTTTTTAATTTAGGGGCGCCTTGTGGCTCAGATGGTTAAGCGTCTGCCTTCGGTTCAGGTCATGATCCCAGGGTCCGGGGATCGAGCCCTGCATCGGGCTCCCTGCTCAACGGGAAGCCTGCTTCTCCCTCTACTACTCCCCCTGCTTGTGTTCCTGCTGTCGCTATCTCTCTGTCAAATAAATAAATAAAATCTTAAAAAAAAAAAAAAATGGAGGGGAAAAGGAATTCTAAAGTCATTCAAGACATTGAGAAGCACATGGCTGTCCTCTCCTCCTTCCAAAGCAAGTTCTTTATTGTCCAACCAATCAATAATTGTTTAATGAGGCCTAGCACTGTACTAGGTACACTGTACTAAGTATAAATACAAAAGTGTAAGACACAGTCCCTGCCAATTTGAGGCATACAACCTACATATTTCTCAGGAATTACTCCATGGTTAAAAACTAAATCTGGACTTGGATGCCAGTATTGCAATGAACATTCTTTCAAGTCAATATTTTAAAGAAAAACATTACACCCCACATGTATCATGGTATGAAACTTTTTCCTAGTAATACCAACTTCATTATCATCAATAAACAAGGTTTACTTTTGTTAAAATTCACCTTACATTCCCCTCCTCTGTAATTTAAATAAACATTTTTCTTGAAAAAGGAATTTTTAAAGGTGAACTAGGGGACGTGCGTAGGTACACATTTGGCCGACAGCTGTTTGCACAACGAGCTCTAGGCTACCGTGTGAAACCGAGCTCATCCCCAGGCCATTTCTATGAATATTTTGAAGACAACATAAAGCACGTCTCCACATAGGACGTTATTGCCACCCAGAAGAGGGAGTCAGCACCGTGGAGAGCGGTCAGGATTAGACATTTTTCATAGCAAAATTTAGCACCAACTCAGGGGCAATAACAGGGGTTGCCGGGAATTTCGTCTCCAAAATGAACCTCTCGATCCTCTCTCACTCTCAGAACTCACAGGTGTGTGGTTCTGGGAACAGAAACTAACCAAAACCGCAAGTCGAACGGAGACAACTGAACCTGGTGACAATTCCATCCCAGGAGTGAACCTCCTGCTTCGAGCATAGAACATTCAGCAGAGCAGAGAAGTGGGAGCAGCAGTCTCAGGAGTCTGAAACCCGAGGTGGTGATACAAGGACACAAACACGACCCTCACCTCCCTTCCAACCCTCAGCTTGCTTCCGTAACCCGGCCCTTCACTTGACTGTGTGGCCCCAGTGAAGAGTCTTGGCCTCACACTGGGTTACTTAACCCAAATGGTCTCCATTTGGCTTATAAGAGGCAAACAGGGGAAGGAACTAGCATGAGGGAAGGCCTGGATGATTTTCGAGTGTTAATGGAGTCTTGATACTCTAATGAAAAAGATCTCGAGTTCCTTTAAATAAAGCACATTAAACCAGGAAGAACATAACTTAAGGGAAAAGTTCAAAGCTGAACTTCAACCCTGCAGCAAGCAGGAGTCTTTTTTTCTTGAGGATCGTTTGCTTTAAAGCACTGAAAAGTGAGTTGCTAGCTCCGGCAGTGATGGGGAAGAACGACAGGCCCTTCCTCTTTTACAAAAGGCCACCAAAGTCTAACAGGACCCCAGGCAGGCAGAGCCGCCAGACCCAGGACGGCACAGCTCCACTCGGGCCCCACGCCAGCTCTCCTCCTCCTGCCTATCCCCAGGGCCTTTAGGAAGGTCGTGCGCCAGGAAAGCCCTATGGACCCCTCCATCACCTCCTAAGCTGACCCTCGAAACTCCTGAAATGGAAGGTAGCATTTAAAGTGTAACACTGGTTTTTCTTCAAATGTAAGCCTGGTTTTCTTATAGCACGTCTAAGGCACGGTGTGAGAACGCTGCTCCCACTCCCAGCCACACACCCATCCTCGGCTCCTCACACGCACACACGCACACAGAAGAGGCCAGCTGACTTTGCCACAATGCATGCGGAATGGAGCGCTTCCGATCACTTCTGCGTTTTGAGCTGGTTGGAGAGCCAGTCCAGGCCTTCGTAAAGCCCATCTCCACTGGTGGCACAAGTGGCCTGAATGTACCAGTTTCTCTGGCGGAGGGAATGTAAGCCGAGCTTGTCTGTTATTTCTGCTGCGTTCATCGCATTGGGAAGATCCTTGACAAAGCAAATTCAAAAAAAAAAAAAAAGTCAGTTTATAATGATGCATTTGTATAATGAAATACGCTCTTCTCCCAAAACTTTTAGTCACAGTCTTAGCTCAGCTGATCCTCAATTTCTCTCTCTCTCTGACCTCCCAACTCCACATCAGGAAAACCCACTGGCTCTGCCATGAAAACAGATGCAGGATCGGACCACTTCTCGCCACCTCCATGGCTACCCACCCGATCCCACCGCTGTTTCTAACTTGGGGTACGGACAAAACTTCTGAATTGGTCTCCTTGCTTGTGTGCTTGTTCCCTTCAGGTCTATGTTCAAGCCAGTGAAAGTCAGAACAAGTCATTCTTTCAAAACTCTGTAGCAGATCCATCTCTTTCAGGGGGAAGAACTGGAGTCCTCCCGGTGGTCTGCAAGGCCCTCGGGACCCGAACCCCCAGGACCCCTCCCTAATTGTCCTGCTTCATCTTTTCAAATGCAGCACTCACCACATGTTACTGTACTATAAAACTGACTTATTTCCTATGTTGATGACTTATTATCTGTCTCCAACTAGAACGCAAGTTTTACAAGAGCAGGAATTTATATCTTGTCCTCTGATATATTCCAAGTTCCTAGAACCGTGCCTGGCACATACTAAGGTATATCTAGAGATATTGATATGGAATGACATCAAAATATGCTAAGTGAAAAAGCAGGTGGATCTCCAGAACGTAAATATGAATACAATCATATAACTGCTTATACAGGCATCGAAAGTTGTATCTCTGAAAAAGGACAGAAGAAATTTAACAATATTATTTTACTCTGAAGAGTGAGGCAAGAATATTTCACTTGGTATTCTAAACTGCTGCCAGATTTACACCATGAGCATGTTCTGCTTTTATAATTAAAAAGAACAAGTGTAGGGCGCCTGGGTGGCTCAGTTGGTTGGGCGACTGCCTTCGGCTCGGGTCATGATCCTGGAGTCCCGGGATCGAGTCCCGCATCGGGCTCCCTGCTCAGCGGGGAGTCTGCTTCTCCCTCTCCCGCTCCCCCCTCTTGTGCTCTTTCTCTCTCTCACTCTCTCTCTCAAATAAATAAATAAAATCTTTAAAAAAAAAAAAAAAGAACAAGTGTAATTATCTTTTTGAAAGTCCATTATGTTCACGAGTGAAATTCAGGACTGGCATCGAACCTAACGGTAGGGTAAAGACTGAGCGAATGACGGTCCAGCCACCATTTAAAATCATGTTTACAGGGATGCCTGGGTAGCTCAGTTGGTCCCGATCAGCTTCTGTCTTGATCTCAGAACAGGGTCATGAGTTCAAGCCCTGCATTTGGCTCATGCTGGGTGTGGAGCCTATTTAAAAAATATAATAATAAAATAAAATATAAAACAAAATCATGTTTACAAAGAGCTGGAGGGCAAGAGAAAATGCCTTCGATAAATCTGAAGTGACAAAACAGGAGGCGGCCCTGTCAGAAGAGCCGTGAGCTCAATCGCGTAACGAATGTATTCATGAAGGAGAAAGTGGAAGGAAAACACATCACTACCTGACTGAAATCATCTCAGGCTGGTGCATTCCACGACTCTACCTCATTCCACGATGCTACCTTCTTTTCCCAGCTTCATTCCTCTTTGAATCCCAAGACGGGACGGCTCTACACTTGGCCTTCCTCCCACTCTTCCTTTACTGCTTTCCACTACATTTATGTAAAAGCCCCTTCTCTTCCTTGACAACAGACCCTATATGATGCAACCATCTCCGCCCTCACCACCCCCGCCCCCTCTGTTCCAGCTGCATTGGCAGCCATGCTTTTCCTAGCCCACTCGGCTCCCTTCCTGCTGGCCTTCAGGTCTGCTCAGATGTCATCTCATCATGGAGGCATTCTGGCCCTTTCCCACATCCAGCCTGCCCCCTTCCTCTGCTTACCTTCCTCTACCACGCTTCCAGCAGACACATTACATATTTCTTACTGACTGACTCTCCTGCCACTAGAATGGAAACTCCATGAACACAGGGACTTTTGTCTATCTTGCTGCTCACTGCTATGTCACCAATACCTAAAACAATGCCTGGATCTTAGTAGATGCTCAATTCATGTTTGTTGAGTGAATGAACAAAAGACATAAGCTAAAAAGGAGGAGGAGGGGGGCGCTTGGCTGGCTTAGTCGGTAGGACATGCTACTCTTGATCTCGGGGTTGTGAGTTCAAGCCCCATGTTGGGCCTAGAGCTTACTTAAAAAAAAAAAAAAAAAGGAGGTGGAGGGAAAGGTTATGGTAGGGGCTAGAGAGAGGGAGGCAGACATCTAATTTAAATATCTGTATTTTTAAGTGAATATCTGGCAGCAATTTCAGTCCCAGTACTCAGAAAGCCAATAATATACCTGTTTATTTACAAACACCAATAAGACTGCATCTCTGAGCTCATCTTCTGCTAACATTCTCGTTAATTCTTCTCGGGCTTCATTGACTCGCTCTCTGTCATTACTGTCGACCACAAAAATCAGACCTGGAAAGAAATCACAAGCATGTTGGTGATCCGAATCTGGAAAGGACAAGAGGTTTCTATGTCCTTACAGCTTCTCCCGACTTAGGCGTATGGTTTCACTGAAAGCAATCAGCTAAGGAAGGACATGTACTCTCCAGAGTTAAGAGAGCCTGCCACACACACACTGCACCAGCTTATCTTCAGAAGCATCCAGGCCTTCCCCAGGTTCATGCTTAATCACTTCACTTCTACATCCTGTTTACATAACGAAGTCGCAATAAAAACCAGGGACATCAAAGTTCAGATAAGCATCCCTGGTTGGCAACACCCTGCAGACGTCATGCATCAGGGTGCTGGAGGTGGTGCGTCCTGATGCCACAGGGAAAGGACAATGTTCTGGGAAGCCCCCCACATTTTCAGCAGGTATCTGAAGGGAGGGAGTCTTGTGCCCCTAACCTGTGAAGTCTGGCCCAACTCCAGGAAGCTGGTGTCGGGAAAGCTTTGCAGGACCCCATACTAGACAGCATCGGAGATATCCCCAGGAAGCAAGAGTCTAAGCCAAGCCGGCTGCCCCCTGCACAGACCTGGCTGCTACCACACTGGATGGAGGGAGCGGTGGGGCAAGACGATCTCCAGAGCATTCCACAGGGGGAAATCCAACATACACACAAATACAGAACAGGGAAGACCCTCTCAGCAGTACTCCCTGAGGCAATAATGATAGTAAGAACCAGGTGGTTAGCTGACAATAAGCCCTCTGTGCGACAAAAATGTGAAGCAGCTGCCAGAACTAATTTGCTCCTAGGCTGTATCAAGAGCAGTGATGGCAGCTCAGTTTCTAGGACATGAGCGAGAAAAAGCCTTCTCCATCATCCGACAATCAGAACATCCTGCGACTATTACGTGGTCGCTGCTGGACCCCACACTCTAAAACACAGGCAAACTGGAAGGATTCAAAGAAAGACTAGGATGGCAAAGGAACGAGATACCATGTCAGATGAAAAAGAACTGATATACCAGGGATATTTTATCGAGAGAAAAGACTCATTGGAGGGACTGACAGCTATCTTTACCTATCTAAAGAGCTATGCCATAAAGAGAGGTTCAACTTGTTTCATGTAGCTCTAATTGTACATTTACACATTCCCCTACCTGCTGTCTGCCCCAGGGCTGACTGGTCACCCTCCCACTTCCTGGTGGGTTCAGCCAATAGGAAGAGCCCTGGCTGTACATTTATATACTTTTCTATCTTTTGGAATTTTGAACCATATACATGTATTGCCATTTAACGAATTAAAATAACTGTACCTACAATCAAGGAGAAAAATCTTTCCAAGTGAGAACTAATAGACCATTTTATGCACTCTCTATAATATAATCAACTAAGAAATCAAATAAACAGTTCAAATTTCAATCTATACAAGTGAGTCTAAGTGAACACACAGTTAAGTGTCTTAATGGAGAGATAAAAGCTATCATTAAGTCTGTCATACTCAATACTGATGAAAAAATTTTAAATTAAAAAAGACCGCTTGACCTTTGAGAAGCTGGCAGGAGAAACAGGGGCAGCATCCAAGGCTACTCCTGGCTGAGATGTCTGAACCCATCACAGACAGCAAATCCATTCTTCAAACAGTCCCCATTTGTAGTTTCACGAAGAGTCTAACTGGCCCCACCCTAGGGCCCTAGATCATAGCCAGGTGGCCGCCATCACAGCAAGTTACTGAAGTTCCATAAAATTGGGCTTGTTATGAATAGAAGATTGAAAACAAAAAGGCATTTCAATTTGGTGCCTGAATGTGACTCTACATCGAGCAAGCAAAAGGACTCCTGCCAGAGAATGAGGAAGTAAAACCTCTCACAATTTGGGTTTGGTGATGGTTAATTTTACGTGTCAACTTGACCGGGGCCACGGGGTGCCCAGACATTTGGTCAAACGTTATTCTGGGTGTGTCTGTGAGGGTGTTTCTTTTCTTTTTTTTTTTTTTTTAAAGATTTTATTTATTTATTTGAGAGAGAGAATGAGAGAGAGAGAGAGAGAGCACATGAGAGGGGGGAGGGTCAGAGGGAGAAGCGGGCTCCCTGATGCGGGACTTGATCTCGGGACTCCAGGATCATGACCTGAGCCAAAGGCAGTCGCTCAACCAACTGAGCCACCCAAGCGCCCCTGTGAGGGTGTTTCTAGCTGAAGTTAATAACGTTTAAATCAGGGGCGCCTGGGTGGCTCAGTTGGTTAAGCGACTGCCTTCGGCTCAGGTCATGATCCCGGAGTCCTGGGATCGAGTCCCGCATCGGGCTCCCAGCTCGGCGGGGAGCCTGCTTCTCCCTCTGACCCTATCCCCTCTCATGCTGTTTCTCTCTCTCTCAAATAAATAAATAAATAAAATCTTTAAAAAAAAAAAAAATAACGTTTAAATCAGTAGACTGAGTAAAGCAGACTGTCTTTCACAGCATGGGGCGGCGAGGGGGGGGCGGGCGGGGGGTGCTCTCCAATCCACTGAAGGCCTGAAAAGAGCACAAGAGGAGCAAAGTCTCTGCCTGACCATCCTGGACCTGGTCTTCTGCCCTTGGACTGGATCTTCCACCTTTGGCTCTCCCGGTTCCCCTGCTTGCCAAATGTAGATCCTGGGACTGCTCAGGCTCTATAACCATGTGAGCCAATTCCTCATAATTAATCTGGTATACATATATATATGTATATATATATATATATATCTCCATCCATCCTATTGGTTCTGTTTTCTCTGGAGAACCCAGACTAATAAAGGCTTCTATCTGAGTGCCTACCTTCCAACCACAGAACTAAGCATTTTACAAAATCAGTCTCATTTAAGCCAAATGATCCAACACAGCAGGTACTACCTCCATTTTAAAGATAAGGAAACAGAGAGAAAAGACAAACTTTCCCAAGGTTTCATAGCAGAGCTGTGGTTCAAACCCATGCTTTCTCATTTTATTAAGTAATAAGGAACTGCGACAGTTTGGCCAAAATGGCAAGTGCCAAGCCAAGATAAACAAACACTCCGGGTATCTAAAGTACTGTCTGCAGTGGACTGAAACACAAAGATAGAAAAATCTAAGAGTCATCATGGAAGTTGCTAGGGTATCAAGTTGTTTGTCTGAAGATCAATAAAGGGAAAGAATTAAACACTTTTTCTGCCTTTGTTACATACACTGTATTTCAGAGAAACCAAGAATTTGATGAAGGAATTCTTTGTTTAGAAGGATTTCAGCTAACAAATACAGATGAAATGACAAGATCTAGAAAAATCACCATTCTGTACCTCTGATGAAATAACAGATCTACGTAATAGTGTTCCATGAATGCTAAAATCAGTAGGTGAAAGGGAACTTTATTTTGGGAGAATTAGGCTGATACCATCTGAACCCACCCAGCATCCCAAAAGTGTGACAGCCAAACTTCTGTGTCAGGATGTGATACAAGAGGAATCCTTAGCACCACTTGTGAGGTATTCTTGCCGCCAAAATGAACCATAATCAAGCCTCTAGAACCACCGTTTTACAAGATATCCCAAGACAAACAAGTAATACTATAATAATCAGCCAAATCCAGAATGTGGGATAAACATCTAACAAGAACAATGGCGCAGAAACAAAGCGTTGGGAGAGGATCTGTTGTAGAATAAGAGACTAAAGGGACAGAACAATGAAATGCAATGTGTGAACTTTGGTTCCTGATGCAGACAAATCCAATGTGGAAAAGACATATTTGATACAACTGGAGAAACTCAATTAAGGACTAGGTACTTGGCATGAAAGAATATTGATTTTGGGGGTGTGATTATGGCAGAAGATTATGTGCAGAAAAAAAGGCTTTACCAGTTTGAAATGAAAACTGAAGGAGATATATATATGAGCAAAAGGCCTCATTTATCATGTCTGGGATTTGCTAGAATATACTCTGGGCAAAACGTTGGTAACTGTAGAAGCAACAGGCACAAGGGGGTTCATTATGTATCCTCTCTCCTTGTATTTGTTTTGAATTTTCTACTAACAAAAGTTAAAAAAAAAAAAGCACTATTTTGAGGAAAAATAACCAAATCCAGAGACAAGAACCACAAACCGAACGAAGTGCTGAAACAATGATCTAAAATGTAAAGGGCCAGCCAGTGTGGGCACTGGGTCTGACAAGACCAACGAACACAAGTGTTCACTAAGGAATGCATGCGATGCAAACACCACCAGTCGTGGAATCTTCAAAATTAGGATTCCAAACAAGTTCTAAAGGAAGCGTGGAGATACCATCTGGTTATGATGCTACAAGAAAATCAGGGTACAAAAACTAGGTGAACAGTTTATGGGTATTTTGAGAGGCAATATTCTCTAAGGTAGCAATGATCCAACACAAAATCCATGGAAACAAACCTCAAGTAGATTGACAAGGGAGTGGACCCATTAAAACCGCACTTTTAAAAAACCAGCGATAAGGGGGCACCTGGGAGGCTCAGTCGGGAGGCTCAGTCAGTTAAGTGTCTGCCTTCAGCTCAGGTCATGATCCCAGGGTCCTGGGACCAAGTCCCGCACTGGGCTCCTTGCTCAGCAGGGACCCTGCTTCTCCCTCTGCCTGCTGCTCTCCCTGCTTGTGCTAGCTCTACCTGACAAATAAATAAATAAAATATTTAAAAAATAATAATAATAATCATAAATAAATAAATAAAAACCCAGAAACTAGTGATAAGGAAATAAGGTAATGATCTGGTATACACGTGTTGATTCACGCACTTCTAGAATAGCAGGGCAGCAGGGAGGGACCGTGGCCACACAAGATGCTGGTATTTGGGGTTCCAGCCAGGCTTGTTCATCTCTTTCTCACCATTGGCATGATTTTTAGATATTCTCAATGAGTTTAAAAGGGTATACTAAACTAAAATTCTCCAAAACCTGGTACTTCATCTGAGACACATACAGCTCTCAATTAACCAAAAGACAAAATTCATCAGGATAGCCATTTTTTAACTAGTCTGCATTAAAAGCAGTTTTCTATGTAGGGCATTAATGCCCAAGTACTTTTTCTAGGAAGGCAGGGACCATTTTCCAAAAAGAAACCTCCCCAGTAAGTGTAAGCGGGTCATCAGAAGAGAAGGAATGACTGACAGTCCAAATAAAGCAGAACACAAAGTTTTGCTTCAAGCATCCATCTTTAGACACATTTAATACAAATGGGTCTAAGGCCATAGACTGGACAATCTTTACCTTGGGTGTTCTGGAAATAATGTCGCCACAAAGGTCTGATTTTGTCCTGGCCACCAACATCCCAGACCGTGAAGCTGATATTTTTATATTCTACTGTTTCCACATTGAAGCCTAAATTGGGAAGATGAAGAAAAATTTTAATGAAGACTTGTTGAACAATTCAAATGAATTTCAGCTAATATTTGGACACTACTTTTAATTTACAAAGCAACTTGCTAGTCACAGATCTTTAGCTCACAGGGGGCACCTGGCTGGCTCAGCCTCATCAAGAGTTGCATCTCAATGAGTTGAGATGCAACTCTTGATCTCGGGGTCTTGAGTTCAAGCCCCACATTGCGCTTACTTAAAAAAAAAAAAAAGAAAGAAAGAAAGAAAAAAAGATCTATAGCTTACAAAACAGACCATGTTAGTCAGCTCTGCTCTTCTATTCATCATGACCGGTGTCTCCAACCTTCTCTACTCTCTCCAACCTCATACGTCCCCTCTTTCTCCCAGATCTTACAGCGTACTTCAGAGCAAACAGAAGCCATTAATGAGACTGACTTCCACCTCCCACCACACAGCATAGAAACCGACCTACATCTGTACCCATACTTTTTTCTCTCCCTCTTAGAAGAGAAGGGGGCATCTATCCAATGCTGATTCCATCCACCCATACAGTCTGGACCTCTCCAAAGTCTCCAACCTATTCTCAGCATGCTTAAGTCTTCACATCTTTCAAAAAGCCCTTCCTTGACTCCGCATCTTCACCTGCTATATTACCCTCTATTTTCCCCATCAAAGCCAAACTTCTCTAAGAAGCTTAGTTACATTCACTGCACCCACTGTGTCACCTCTCACCCAAGAACACCTTCTGCTTCACCATGTTACATAGCTGGCCTTGCCAAGGTGAGCAACGATCACGTCAATAAATCCAACAGATGCTCTTCAGTTCTTGCATAATTTGATTTTATATCTGACACTACTGCTCATTCCCTTCTTGAAACTCTTCCCTGGTTTCCCATTTTCATTGTATTTCTATGGCTGAACCTTCTTGGTCTACTCAGTGAGCTCAACCACATTTGACTGATCCTTAAGTGATGGAGTTCCTATGATTCTGTCCTGCCCCATTCATTCTCCTCTTTCCACAGCCCCAAGAGGTAATCTCATTCACTCATGGGGCTTCATTACCACCTTTGTGCTAACAACTCTCAAATTTACATTACCCCATCCCCAGATCTCCTAAGCCTCAGGCTCATAATCTAACCTTCTATCCAACATCTTTGATTAGATGTCTCAAAGGCTCCAATAAGGCACTATGTCAAAACTGAACATAAGATCCCCACCCCTCTAGGGGTGCCTAAGTGGCTCAGTTGGTTGAATGTCTGACTCTTGATCTCAGCTCAGGTTTTGATCTCAGGGTCATGAGTTCAAGCCCCACATTTTGCTCCAAGCTGGGAAAGGAGCTACTTAAAAACAAACAAAAAAAGATCCCTGCCCCTCCTCTACTAGTTACCCCTGTACTGACTTCATCCCGCAAGCCGGAAATCTGGGAGGCATCCCTGACACTCCCAACACTCTCACCCCTAAACATCTCATTATCAAATCTTATCAATTCAACCTCCTAAATATCTAATAGTCACCCTAACCCAAGAGACAGTAGCCTCAATTATTGAAGCGACCTAACTATCTGCAGCTACTCTTCTTCTCTCCGTCCACTTACCATTTTCCAATCAAAACTCTCAAAACACATTATGTGGTCATATCACTTCACTACACATTTATGCTTGACTGAAATATTTAAAATAAGGGAAAAAAAACTAATCTCTCCTTGGCTTCCCACACCCAAATCCCAAACATGACTGTCAAGGTCCACCACAACCTGGGCCTGCTCACTTTCGATATCTCACTGAGTCATGCCTTGTTTTAGCGAGGGGCACTCACTACATTGCAGCAATCTCAACTCTTGCTAAATAAATGTATAAATTCAATGCCATTCTAATCCTAAAGTGATGAGGGAAGGGAGGTAGGGTAGGAAACTTAGCAAAATGATCTTAAATGTAACCTGGAAAAATAAGCAAGTAAACATAACCAGGAACTCTCTGAAAACAGATAAATTATTTTTAAAGATATTATCAAAACTCAGTAACACGTGAAATAATTAAGTTCAAATGACTACAACAGGGAGTTGCCCAGAAAAACACACACACACCCATGAAAACTTAGTATATGATAAAGAAGGCATTTAATATCAGCATGGATGGGGCACCTGGGTGGCTCAGTCAGTTAAGCGTCTGACTCGATTTCAGCTCAGGTCATGCTCGGGGTTATGCGATCAAGCCCCGTGTTGGGCTCCACAATCAGTGCAGAGTCAGCTTGTCCCTTTCCCTCCCTTGTACATTCTCTCTCTCTCAAATAAATAAATAAAATCTTAAAAAAAAAAATTGGTAAATTTGACTACCTAAAATTCTATATGGCAAAACACAGAAAAAATGAGGTTGAAAGACAATTGACTAGAAAACTAACACATGACAAGAGTTGTTTCTGACCCATGATGTCCTCCTTCAAATTGTTAAGAGACATATAAACATGCCAACAAAAAGAAAACCAGTAGAACCAAATTAAAATCAAGTCATAGACTGGAGTGTCTGGCTGGCTCAGCTGGTAGAGCACACGACTCTTAATCTCAGGGTTGTGAGTTCAAGCCCCACATTGGGTATGGAGATGATTTAAAAAATAAATAAGGGCCACCCAGCGTGAATTCAAGCCCCACATTGGGCATGGAGACTACTTAAAAAATAAATAAGGGGCATCCGTGTGGTTCAGTTGGTTAAGCGTCCGACTCTTGATTTCTGCTCAGGTTGTGATCTCAGGGTTGTGGGATTAAGCCTCACATTGGGCTCTGTGCTCAGCGGGAAGTCTGCTTGAGATTCTCTCTCCCCCTTTTGCTATTCCTCCCCTGTCATGTGCACACATGCGCTCTCTCTCAAATAAATAAGTAAAAGCTTAAAAACTAAATAAATAAATAAAATTGAGTACAGAGCAAATACAAATGGCCAATGGATGTTTGAATATATTCACTTACAGTAAAAGAAATTCCAATAAAAATCAGTGGTTTTTTTTCCCTCCCCATCAGATTGGCAAATTCCCTGGAGATGAACACTTTTTAATAGTTGGTGACACAACTTTTTTGGAGAAAAGTTTGGCAATGTGTACCCACATTTTAAATGTGCGTAAGGGTTTTTTGGGGTTTTTTTAGGTAAATTCTGTGCCCCATGTGGGGCTTGAATTTATGACCCCAAGATCAAGAGTCACATGCTCTATGGACTGAGCCAGCCATGTGCCCCTAAATGTACATTAGGTTTTTCTGTTTTGGTTTGGTTTATTTACTTATTTCTGAGAGAGAGAGAGAGACAGAGAACAAGCAGGGGGGAGCGGCAGGCAGAGGGAGAAGGAGGCTCCCCGCTGAGCAAGGAGCCCGACGTGGGACTCAATCCCAGGACCCCAGGATCATGACCCAAGCGGAAGGTAGACGTTTAACCAACTGAGCCACCCAGGCATCCCTAAATGTACATTACTTTTAACAATTCTTCCTCCAGAAATTACTACAAGGAGTAAAGTTCATGTTTGCAAAAAAAGAACCACTGTAAATAACTGAATCAACCGTCAATGGAAATTTATTAAAAATACAGTCATATAATGGAATACTATCCAGTTATTAAAACTTGATGTTGATGTTAATCTGTATCGGTTGTTATTTAAGCCCCGAAACTTAGTGACTTAGAATAATGAACCCAACAATTCTGTGGGTTTCTTGGGCTTCCCCCTGTAGTTACATCCAGCTATGGAGTCCCTTGAGCAGTGGACTGGCCCATCTCTCTCCAGGTGGTCTTTTCATTTTTGAGCATCCTCTTACAGTGGTGGCAATGTTCCAAAAGTACAAGCCTCAAGGCACAAGCACTTATTCATTCAATCTTTGAATTACATTTACTGATGTTCCCTTGGCCAAAGCAAGCCATGTGGCCAAGCTCAGCATCACTGTAGAAGGGGATTGCACAAGAGGGTGGATACTGAGGGGGATGATTCACTGGGGGCCATTAGTTTCACAATCTACAAGACTGGTATCCCATTCATTCACCAAATATTTACTGGACAGCTACTATGTGCCAGGCATTCTGCCAGGGGCTTGGGAACAATGGTGAAAATGACAGACATGGTTCCTGCCCTTATCTACACACCGCTGGAAGGAAGAGAAGTGGGCAAGCAATGGCAAATGTGTTGAGAATTATTAAGAAGTTCCGGTTACTATGGAAACTTTTAACAGGGGAAAACCAGTCCAGGCTATCAGGAAAGGTGTCCCTGATAAATAATGTTTAAACTAAGACCAAAAGAATGAGCTGGTGTTACCTACATAAAAGGGGAGGAAGCTAAGGAAAAAGGCAGGAAAGCATTCCACAGAGAGGAAGTAATATAGAAAGAGATCCAAACACACTATTTAATGCCAAGTTTGAAAACAGAATGCATATGATTTTACAAAGATATTCACCAAAATCTTAACAGTAGTGTTTTTTAACACTTGTTTATGTTTTGCTGTATGTCTAACATTATGGAAGCATGAATAATTTTTATAATTGGAGAAAACCAAGCAATTACGCTATTTTCATTTTGGACTAATAACATTTTTTAAATTGTGGGTGTGAATGTTTTCTCCATCTGGTTTCCTCCTTCTCCAAATGTTGTAATCTCTGAAACTACTGCCCAAGTTGGAAGTTGATCATTTGGTTCCTGTGACTAATCCAACATTCTGAACACTACTGACTTCACATGCCATCCCGTGGGGCCTATTCTCACTCAGGAGTTTGGATCTAGAGGCAGTTTTTAAGGCAAAGATTAAGTCCTATCCAACCTGCCTTTGTGAAATCCTCAAATGGCCCACAAAACACAGTGCTGGTTCACAGAAATAACTCCACTGCCAGGTTCTCCTCCAGCACCAGAACAAAGCAGATTCTTCAGCTGGACACCAACTCAAGTAATTGGCTTGAGCCAGAGTGAAGGAAATCACACTGCATCTTTAAACCCTAGGAACATACTTCCTGTGGACATGCTTCCACTTAGAAAGGCCAGCTGGAAGGAAGATGGGCTGAAGAGGCAACAGCAGATTCCCAGCTCCCATCTCAGGCATAGGCTGGGACACACACTAATTGAGTGGAATAGAGGGCATAACTGCCCTCCCTGGTTGTCTGTTTAAGCTTTTATTTTTAAGTAATCTCTACACCCAAAGTGGGGCTCTAACTCAAAACCCCGAGATCAAGAGTCGCAAGCTCTGGGGCACCTAGGTGGCTCAGTCAGTTAAGCATCGGAATCTTGGTTTCAGCTCAGGTTGTGATCTTGGGGTCCTGAGATGCCCTGCGTTGGGCTCTGCACTCAGTGTGAAGTCGGCTTGGGTTTCTCTCCCTTTCCCTCTGCTCTTCCCCAACAAAGCTAGCTCACTCTCGCTCTCTCTCTAGAATAAATAAATCTTAAAAAAGTCGCAAGCTCTACCAACTGAGCCAGCCAGGGACCCCTGCGCCCTCCCCGTTTTAATCATTATCTTTTTCTTTTTTACCAAGCAGATAAGGTTAATTGTGCTTATCCTAAATGTGTCCCTCTGATTGCCCCATAAACCTAGCAATGGTCCTAGAGGTGCCAGGGAGCAATTAGGAAATTCTGTATTACCTAGTCTGGGCCTCAAAAAGTTTACGCTCTTGGGGCAGACAAGGTTTTCAGAAAGAAGTATTCAATAATATAAAAGGCATGTAAATGTGTAACATACTAACTTGTAAACTGGTCTCATCACAGGCCGTGAACATACCTATTGTAGGGATGGTAGTCACAATCTCTCCCAGTTTCAATTTATACAAGATGGTGGTTTTTCCAGCTGCATCCAAACCCACCATAAGAATCCGCATCTCTTTTTTCCCAAATAGACTCTTAAACAGTTTTTCAAAAACGTTCCCCATTGTGACTGAATTCTGTTACCTGAATGAAAAGAAAGGCAAGTCAAGTAATTGTTCTTTACAGAGATATAGAAACACCATACATAAAACAAGGCTCTATTAGAGGTGACTCCTAGTAAAAAATTTAAACAATTTTAAGTATAATTTGGCCAAGAAAGAGTAGTGTGTCTTGTTTTTAAGGGAAATTCAACTAAGCCTTTTGATGCCTAGCCAGAAAATTCTTTTCCACTGCAGCATCCAAGTGGGTAAGTGGAAACACAGTCTCAATGCTACCACTATGGCAGCAGGCTGTAGTCAGCCTAAGTATGGAAGCAGTGCCAACAGATATATCTAAACTCTCTTGAAATGAGAACTCGAGCAGAGAACCAGTTTATTTAACGGGATGTGAAGCGAAGTCCTTAAGGCAGGTTAAATACCAGTATCTCTTAGAAATTCAGTTGTTGCCTTTGGCTAGCAAACGGCATCAACACCCAGAAAAGAACAATTTCGGAGGGGAGGAAATACAGCATTGTGACACCACACTGCTAACAGAGAAACTGACTAGGGCAAGAGCTGAGGAGATCCCATAGCATCCAGTGTTGACCATCACCTGACTCTCAACCAATTTCTGTTAACTTTTTATTGAAATGTAATTTCCATACAGATAAAAACACACATGATAACCAAACAGTTCAATGAAATGTCATGAACCCATCAAAATGATTACCAGCGACCCAGATCTCCTTGTCTCCCATCTCAGTCATTACCTCCCAAAAGTCACTATATTGACTTCTAACAGCATAAGTGTGCAATATTTTAAAGAAAGGCAATAGTAACTGGCGCCTGAGTGGCTCAGTTGGTTAAGCGACTGCCTTCAGCTCAGGTCATGATCCTGGAGTCCCAGGATGGATTCCCGCCTCGGGCTCCCTGCTCAGCGGGGTCCCCCTCTCACGTGCTCTCTCTCATTCTCTCTCTCAAATAAATAAAATCTTAAAAAAAAAAAAAAGAAAAGAAAAGAAAGGCAATAAAGACAGACTAGCTTTGCAGAAATTTATTCTACAGTCTTTTAACACATCAGCCTATTTGAAGTGTGAGCCTGACATTCTAAAGACTTAAAAGTAGTCCTATGTCTGCACCTCCAAGCTCCTGAAAGTCTACAAAGATTCTTCAAAAATAAAAAAAAAGTCCTTGTTCCAAAGACTATGATTTTCCTTTTAAACTGCTAACCAGGGATGCCTGGGTGGCTCAGCCGGTTATGTGCCAGACTCTTGATTTCAGCTCAGGTCATGATCTCAGGGTGGTGAGATCCAGCCTGTCATTGGGCTCCGCGCTGGGCGTAGAGCCTGCTTAAGATTCTCTCTCCCTCCCCAAAATAAATAAAATAAACTGCTAACCAAAGAAAAACTTTACTCCCTGGCAGAACAGAGGGAAAATGCAACAAGGACAGCCAACCTCTCATTCATCTGGACCCTAGTGACCTCAAACGGGAGGTCACCAAATTCCAGAGGCCCCACGTCTGAAATTCAGCGGTTTCCCACGGTGGCTTAATATGGATGATGTCCAAGCATACACCATTCCATTCCACGACCAGAGAAAAGCAGAGCATTTGTCCCATATATAAATGAAGTAAAAGTGAACTGCTACAACCAAAGAATGATGAATGGGTTTTTTTTAAAGATTTATTTATTTATTTTTATTTGAGAGAGAGAGAATGAGAGAGAGCGAGTACATGAGAAGGGGGAGGGTCAGAGGGAGAAGCAGACTCCCCGCCGAGCAGGGAGCCCAACACGGGACTCGATCCCGGGACTCCAGGATCATGACCTGAGCCGAAGGCAGTCGCTTAACCAATGAGCCACCCAGGCGCCCCGAATGATGAATGTTTTAACCATTCATAGTAGGTCTGTATGTAAAGTATATAAACGTCCGGAGCACTGCAGCAGTCAAAATCTTTTTGGGCAACAAAACTAGAGATGCCTTGTCTTTGTTTCCGAAAAAAGACAAAGCGCATAGATGAGAAAAACTATAAGGAGTGTGCTAGAAGTGGAAGGGGGAGTACTTCCCACTTAGATGTCCTTTGAGGCAAATACTCCTGCTCGATTCTCCCTCCCAACTATACACAGTACACCACCTAGGTTTTTCCCTGCTGCTTCTCTCTTCCTCTTCTTCCCACTCATCTGCCAGAGGTGCCCAAATCCCGCTGAGCCTGGGGACACCCTCTGGGGAAAAACGTCCCCGACCCTGGCGCCTCTTCGCCCGCTCACCCTTCCCTGCCACAAGCACCAACTATCCATCAGGGAGGAACGGCGGCGAGACCCCCAGGGCACTAACGGGAGCGGGCGGCCACGGGGGCGTGCGCGGCGGGCGGGCGGGCACGCGCGCCGGGTCCTCGGGAAGAGCCCCGAACGCCTTTTCTGCCCGCCCGCCCGCCAAGCCGCTCCCCCTCGAGGTGCCGGCCCTCGAGAGAGCGGAGGACCACGGGTGCACGCGCCAAGCTTCCCTGGAATCCCGACAGCGCCGGCCCCACAGAAAGTGGAGAAGAGGCAGGGAGCCCAACCCCTTTCCGCAGGCCAACCGCCACTCTCTGGTTTCCCGCCCGCTGCTGGTGCGGAAAACCAGCCAGGACTTAAGTGCTGCCGCCCCTTCTCCCCAGCCCGCGACTCACCTGCCGCCGCACTCAGCACCGTTAGCCACACCACTGCCTTTCAGATTTCGGCTCCCTCTGCAAAATGGCGACTGGCGCGGAGGCGGGAACCACAACCAACCAATCATCCACCGCCTCTTGGAGCTTTCGTACCAATGACCTCGAAGTTCCGTGAGTGACGATATGTCTGGCCAATGCAAAGGACAATTAGAGCCTGGTCGGGAGGAGGCCCGCCCCTCGCGACCTAGGCGACGGCACGAAGCTCTGAAAATGCCGGGTTCATCTTCCAATGACAGCTCCCCGCGTCCCGACGAGACACTCCCACACGCCCCGCCCCAATGCCGTACGCGACCAATCAGAGAAGTCAAAGGATTTCCGATTTGCTCCGCCAATCAACTCGGAAAAATCCCTAGGATTGAACAAACCCCGGGAGCTTTCGAACCAACCGGGTGGGGGCATGTGGGCGGGGCCGAGTTCCTAGAGATACTTAAGGAAATTTGCCGCGGTTGAGCTAAAAGTAGAAACTAGTTTGGGGCGGTGACCTGTATGGGGAATACCCAGACGTTGACACAGAAGTGAGGCTTAAGGAAAGTTTCCTGCTCAGGCTGAAGCTAAATTGCAGCCCTGCCTCTAAACAGATTTTCAACAGTTGAGTAAGATACAAGCCACCTGCACCGTTCAGATGTCCAGTATCACAGCCCTCTGGATAACCCAGACCCCTTAAACTCGGTTAGCCAACTTGGTTAGCTAAAAAGGTAACTAACTCCTGCAAATAGTACTTGACATAATCAGAAAGATGAACACCGATTGAACACATACCATGTGCCATGAACTATGTCAAGGACTTTACCTGCATGACCATAATGCCTTGTGAGTTAGAAACTATAATTTCCATTCTACCAAGAGGAAAAGTAAGTAGCCGAACAGAGGTAAAAGCTTAGGTCTTAATCTCTTTACCACATACTTTCTTTCCCAGTCACAGTGATTGTATATATGACAGTAAATATATAAGAGGTTTTTCTATGTGACTCCTTAAAAAATGTTTTTCTGACTATAAAAAAATTATAGAAAGTCACTTTTTTAAAAAAAGATCTTATTTATTTGAGGGAGAAAGAGAGAGAGAACAATCAGGAGGAGCTTCAGAGGGAAAAGGAGAAGCAGGCTCCCTGCTAAGCAGGGAGCGAGAGGTGGGCTCTATCCCAGGACCCTAGGATCATGACCTGAGCTGAAGACAGATGCCCAACCAACTGAGCCACCCAGGCGCCCCTACAAAGTCACTTCTTAAAATACATGAAAAATGGCATTCCTCACCAGAGTGTGGACGAAAAAGAGAAGGGGGAAGAGAAAAAAAAAAAATCACCCATCATTCTATCATTTAGAGGCAATCACTGTTACAGTTCAGACTATGAATACATAAAATTTTGGTTTTTTTCCAGTAAACATTTTAATTTGAGCATTTTCCACATTACTTAGCATTTAAACATTTCTGAAAGCTGTGTGATATTCCATTATATGGATATACCCTGATTTATTTAATCACTTTCATGGAGTTCAACATTTAGATTGTTTTTAAGTTTTTCTATATGAATAATGTTTCAGTGAACTTTTTTTTTTCCCCTGCATTCCTGGCTATTTTTTTTCCTCAGGAAAATCCCCAGAAGTGGACTCACCACCGCCAAATTGTTTTCTGAGTAGACTATGCAAATGTATATTCCCATCCCAAAATGTACATTTTCCCATTCACTTGGTAATGTACATTTGTACATTTCCCATTGCCAAGTGAAAACAGTGCTTACTTCATCATTTGGTAAGCTCTTTTTAATGTATTTTGTTTGCTAATTTGATAACCAAAGAAAAAAAAAGTATCTCATGTTGGTTTCATTTTCATTTCATTTCTTTGATTACTTATTTGTCCCCAAATGTTTACTAGTATTTTTATTTCATCTACTACAAATGATCTATTCATGTCCTTCTGCTGACTTCCAAGTCAAAGATGCAAAACTGTTTTGCCAGTAATTATGAAGGCTGCTTAAATGGATTCATCATAACCTGAAAAAAGGATGAAATAGCAAGGAAAAGATTTTTCCTACCACTGTTTGTACCCTACAGAAGGAATGTTGGAGCTGATAATAATGGGGCTTTATCCCTCCACCTCGATGACCTGAGAATGTGCATTATTTTCCCAAGATCTGCATCATGATGCCTATGAATAAAACAAAGTCCCCGCCCACATGGCACTCAATTGTTGAAGGATTACGGCCATATATAGATACACATATTCACACAGAGACATGTTTATATATACATATATATACACACACATTTATGTTTTATATGTTTATATGTATGTTTTATACATATATGTTTTATACATATAAACATATAAAATGTTTTTTAAGATGTTATTTTTTTAAGTAATCTCTACACCCAACACGGGGCTCGAACTCACAACCCCAAGATCAAGAGTCGCATGCTCTTCCAACTGAGCCAGCCAGGCACCCATCATATATTTTTTAATAATAATATGCATGGGGAATGTATGGGAGAGGGGCTAGAAGAAAACAGGTCTAACTTACTAATGATTGTATTCAGGAGACAGGGTTGTGATTTTTTTCTTCAAGTGATTGAGAGAAAATACTAATTTCATAATGCAAAACTCAACTTTTTTTTTTTTTTTTTAAACAAAACCCACAATTAGGAAGAAGGTTTCATTGAAATCATGGTAACTGTTCAGGGAAGGGTTTTTTTGTTTTTTTTTTTTTAAGATTTTATTTATTTGAGACAGAGAGAATGAGATACAGAGAGCATGAGAGGGAGGAGGGTCAGAGGGAGAAGCAGACTCCCTGCCGAGCAGGGAGCCTGATGCGGGACTCGATCCCAGGACTCCAGGATCATGACCTGAGCCGAAGGCAGTCGCTTAACCAACTTAGCCACCCAGGCGCCCCAGGGAAGTTTTATTAAGCTCAATTGTGGTGACTCAATAAATGAATTGCGTATGGTGATGTTGATTGAGTGGGGTTTTTTCCTTAATAGAAAACATTTCTTGGGGCACCTAAGTGGCTGTCGGTTAGGCATCCGACTCTTGGTTTCAGCTTAGGTCATGATCTCAGGGTCATGGGAGGGAACCCTGTGTCTCAGGCTCCTCACTCAGCAGGGAGTCTGCTGAGGATTCCCTCTCTCCCTCTCCCTCTGCCCCTCCCCACCGCCACGCACGCTCACATGCGCTCTCAAATAAGTAAATGAATCTTAAAAAAAAGAGAGAGAGAAGAGAAAACATTTCTTATCAATATAATGTTATTTGTACAGCATGGCAAGTAGAAAGAGCTCTGGGGAGAAGCAGAGATCATTTCACCCCGAGAAACATCTCATTTGGAGATAGCTTGCTTTCTCTAAGTTAGACTTTAAAATCAGCTAATAGGGTTACTAGTATTATAGTACTCTTGGTAGTGGTAGTTAGTATCTGTGTAACTGCTGCATGAGATACTGACTGTGTTAGGTACTGTATGATAATCATCTCATCTAATTCTCACATGAAAACATTTAAGTTTAGAGTGTCTAAATGTCACACTGTATACCTGTACCACCCCCCCCAAGTAAACTTATCCCTCTATTCTTTTTTTTTTTTTTGAGAGAGAGCAAGAATGAGAGAGAGGAGGGTCAGAGGGAGAAGCAGGCTCCTCGCTGAGCAGGGAGCCCGATGCGGGACTCGATCCAGGGACTCCAGGATCACGACCTGAGCTGAAGGCAGTCGCTTAACCAACTGAGCCACCCAGGCGCTCTCTTTTTTTTTTTTTTTAACTTAAGTAATCTCTATGCCCAACATGGGGCCTGAACTCATGACCCCAACATCAAGAATCGCATGGTCTACTGACTGAGCCAGCCAGGCACCCCTTTATCCCTCTATCCTGGTCACACTTCTGCTCCAGAGATGTCTTCTTCTCTAGGAGCCCTACTTTACATGTTCCTTGCCCTAGAAACAGCCCTCCAGAAACCATAGACACAACCTTCACTTTTTCTCAGAAGCCCTCCTGAGAACCATCGCAGATAACGAGTATTGTCATGACCAGTGAGCTGTGGTTTGTGGGCTTTTAGTATCTTAAGATTTCAGGCAACTCAGCCTTTCCCAGGAGACTTGGACTTCCTTTTCACAAGATGCATAAAAGCTCATCAGACCAGGGCGCCTGGGTGGCTCAGTTGGTTAAGCAACTGCCTTCGGCTCAGGTCATGATTCTGGAGTCCCGGGATCGAGTCCCGCATCGGGCTCCCTGCTCAGCAGGGAGTCCGCTTCTCCCTCTGACCCTCCCCTTCTCGTGCTCTCTGTCTCCCATTCTCTCTCTCAGATAAATAAATAAAACCTTAAAAAGCTCATCAGACCAATATCTGAATAATCCCTCTCCAAAGAACTGCAAGCAGCTCTCTGGACCCACAATGTTAATATGCAGGGTTAGGCAGCCTGGCAAGCGCTTTGGGACTCGCACTAAAGGATCATCTGGTTTCTATAGCAACATTCATTCCTTTCCACGGAGGATTCTATCATCTCTCCTGCCCACTCAGACTTTGCAGAATGAATTGATTTTTGTGACTATAGGTGTTTGTCCTTGATCTTCCAAAGAGAAAAGACATATTCATCAAAACAAAAAACACAGAAACACCAACAATAAAAAACCTGACTGCAGCTAAAACGCTGCATTGCATCAGCCTGTCTTCCTTTCTTTAAAAAATTCCATACCCTTTCTCCATTTTGCTCCCTTCCCTAGCCTTATCCACTGTTTTGGGAAAATAATTTTCTCCAACAGAAAACAAACAGATGGTGACTCCATTTTCCTAAAACTGGCTACCATGGGGCTGTAAAATGAAGTTTTGAACAAGGCTCCCTTAAGCCTGGGCTTAGGGCATGGGTGGCTGACCTGTGGGTTATGATTGGAGGGGCGAAGTAAGGATCATTATCCACATAAAGCTCCCTAGACAGATGTCACAATCTCTGAAATTCCACCAGTAGCAATTTGTTTCTTTAGGTTAGGCATTGCTCTCCCCAGCAATATTCTCTTAAATTGCATATTCTTCTGAGAAGTATAATATATGAGGTTGCTAATGCTCAAAGAACTTGGGAAAGAGAGGAGGTGTTGCAGTGTAAAAGGGGCTCTGGAGACCACTTTTATTGCTCCACAATGACATCTTCTGCAAGAGGGGCGGTGCCAGTCCTTGTCACTCACATACACAGGACCACTGGAGGATGATTTCCAACATTTACAATGCAGTGGTGAATTTACTGCATAGACCTGTTCCCTGAAACACCTGCATGCAGTCTTGCTGGAAGATGTTTGAAACCCACACCGTGAAGTGACTAAAACACCTCTCTGTTCCCAGCACCATTTGTTTAACCTAGAGTTTCCACAGACAAAAGGTAGTTTTCCTCTGGGTAAGGTGGCAAGAACCAAAAAGCTGTATTGCTTTGTTAAATAAACTAGACGACTCTGGTTCAGTTTACTTCTACGTAGGTTACTGTTGCCTTCACTCTTCAAAACACAGAAGAAATTTTTCCCCCAGTTAAATTCTTACTGTTACAAGCAAAATAACTCTGTACCCGGAAAGTTATTCAGCCCCATTCCAATGGAGCTCTTACTAAGTGATGTTTAATGGGCCATAATTTGAACATAGAATTATATCCATGCAGTCTTCAAGTCTTTGAATCAGGCCTCCACCTATAAATGTTGGTTACCCATGAGGGAGGAACAGGTGATATTAAGTTTTACTATGTGGAAGCCTGGAATACCTTTGTTGTCACTGACAGGAAATTGAGTGTATTAGTCAGGGTTCTCCAGAGAAACAGAATCAATAGGGTGTATTGTATAAATATCTGTATAAAATAAAAAGATTTATTTAAGAAATTAACTCTTGCAATTGTGGAGGCTTGAGGAGTTCAAAAATTTGATGAGGCAGGCTGGCAAGCTGGAGAGTCAAGAGAGATTTAGGGGCGCCTGGGTGGCTCAGTCATTAAGCGTCTGCCTTCGGCTCAGGTCATGATCTCAGGGTCCTGGGATCAAGCCCCGCATCAGGCTCCCTGCTCAGCGGGAAGCCTGCTTCTCCCTCTCACACTCCACCTGTTTGTGTTCCCTCTCTCGCTGTGTCTCTCTCTGTCAAATAAATAAATAAAATCTTAAAAAAAAAAAAAAAGAAGAAAGATTTGCAGTTCCAATCCAAAGGCAGTGTGCTAGGAAACCAGGAAGATGTGATTTTGCAGATGAAGTCAGAAGGCAGTCTGCTGGAAAATTTCCTGTTGCTCCCAAGAGATCAGCCTTTTATTTAATTCAGGCCTTCAACTGATTAGATGAGGCCCACCCACATTATGGAGAGTATCTACTGGACTCAAAATCCATGGATTTACTTTTTTTAATTTTTAAAAAAAATTTTATTTTTATTTATATATTTGACACAGAGAGACACAGCGAGAGAGGGAACAGAAGCACGGGGAGTGGGAGAGGGAGAAGCAGGCTTCCTGCTCCAATCGATGTGGGGCTCGATCCCAGGACCCCAGGATCATGACCTGAGCTGAAGGCAGATGCTTAACGACTGATCCACCCAGGCGCCCCAAAATCCATGGATTTAAATGTAAATCTTTTTTTAAATTTTATTTTATTATGTTAATCACCATACATTACATCATTAGTTTTTGATGTAGTGTTCCATGATTCATTGTTTGTATAACACCCAGTGCTCCATGCAATACGTGCCCTTTTTAATACCCATCACCAGGCTAACCCATCCCCCCAACCCCCTCCCCTCTAGAACCCTCAGTTTGTTTCTCAGAGTCCATAGTCTCATGGTTCATCTCCCCCTCCGATTCCCCCCCTTCATTTTTCCCTTCCTACTATCTTCTTCCTTTTTTTTTTTTTTTTTTAGCATATAATGTATTATTTGTTTCAGAGGTACAGGTCTGGGATTCATCAGTAAATCTCGTCTAAAAATATCCTCATGGAAACATCCAGCATAATGTTTGACCAAGGATCTGGGCACTGTGACCCAGCCAAATTGACACATAACATTAACCATCACACTGGGTCACACAGTGGCCATGTTAACAAGAACTGATCTTGATCAAACCCTTACCACCACCACCCCCATTCCTCACTGTTATTTATCCTAGATACTGCTATATCTAATTCATTATTATGTCATGATCTTTTGTCCTTTCATTCGAGGTATCTAATACCCCTTTCCTCTCTGTCTCTATCCCTAGTCTCACCTCATCCACCTCCTGCCTCGCTAAAAAGCCTTGCAGCCCTTAGAAAATTATGTTAGTCATTTACACGTCAGGATAAATTTAGGGTCGCCTGGCTGGCTCATTCAGTAGGGCATGTGACTCTTGATCTTGGGGTTGTGAGTTTGAGCCCCATGTTGGGCATTGAGATTACTTTAAAAAAATAGGGTAAATCTAAATCATTGTTAGCTGTCTTACCTACTTTCTCATTGTAAAAGAAAAGCATATTAAAAAGATTTCAGGATCAATGAAGAGCTGAGGGAGGTATTTTTTTGAGGAAGGGAAAGAAAAAGAAATTGACAAACAAATGAAGACAAAGAGGGACAGCCAGAGCAGAAGACGGAAACCAGATAAACTCCAGGGGTCTAGATAATTCATGGTCTTTTCAAGGTGTCACCATTGCAGTAAATCAGCTCTCACTGTTTTCTATCTTCCTCAGGATAGTCAAGGTTGCAGTTGCTTGGGAGAGAACCATCTGATTAATTGAGCTTGGGTTCTGTGCTCCCTCCTGGGCCAGGGGATGGCAGGGCACCTTGTCTGACAGTTTCCAAGCTGCATGAGCTGGAGGAACTGTGGCCAGAAAAAGGGGTGAGGATTTGGGGCAGCAAACTATTTATTCTCTATAGACCATCACTATCACTGTAAGAATTGCTCAAAGGTAATGCAGAAATAGCTCCACTATTTCTAAGATAACCTTGAATATCAGAGTAAGGCACAGATGGGAGGCAGACACTGTGACAGCCTGGACCAATGTCTCAGAATCCTTCTGCTCCAGATGGATACTAAGCACCTTAAGGGCAAGAGCTCATGTCTACCTAGTTTCTTTGGTAGACAGACCTGTAGGACTGTGTATGTGATGCTACTGAATTTATACCACTTGTGAGATGCTACAGAGGTTGGCTTATCATGGGAATACGCGCTCTAAACAGACACATTGGAACCTGTCCAGCAAGCCTATCTTTCCTAGGTGGTAAGTATTCCTCCCTGTTGGAGAGATTAGACATTTTCCCTTGCAATCTATTTTACCTAGTAACAAACCAGTGTACATATATTTGCACTATTCTCTGGTCTTGAAAATAATGTCAGGTCATTGGACTGAGAACCAATATCATCATCTGGATCTGTTTGGTAAATCTCTTTGATTTACAGATTCAAATTCAAAGTATCAAAAAATTTAAGACACAACCATTAAGCTCACCTAATTATACCTGTCACTTTGCAAACAAGGAAACTGGGGCTCAGAGAGGTTGAAATATGGCAAATGAGTAGGCAGAGCAAGAAAAGGGACAAGAACCTACACCTCCAGGCTCCCCAATTCATTCTCATTGTTTTGTAGCTTTTGCAAGTTAATAGATCAGAGTTCAATTAGTTCTGTTTTCCTGATAAACTCTGATCCACTGATTTAGTTAACATCTGATTTGTCCAATAAAGCAATGTGGTTCTCAGGCACAGCGTGCGAGTTTATAAAACTGGCCTGATTTTGGGCGCCTGGGTGGCTCAGATGGTTGAGCGTCTGCCTTCGGCTCAGGTCATGATCTCAGGGTCCTGGGATCGAGTCCCGCATCGGGCTCCCTGCTCCTTGGGAGCCTGCTTCTCCCTCTGCCTCTCTCTCTCTCTGTCTCTCATGAATAAATAAATAAAATTAAAAAAAAAAAAAAAAAAAAAAAACTGGCCTGATTTTGTTTTTTCTGTCCCTGGCCCGCCTTCAGGTCACTTACTGATTTTTATTCTCAATCTTAAACTGCTAAGCATGCCCAGCTCTTCTAATTTTTTCCTTTGCTCATGTTGGAAAAACTATTTTTTCCTAATCAGCTGTGAGAAGTTAAAGATAAAAAATCCTGTTGTTTCTCGTTGTCTTGTGTAAATACGGAGAGAAATACAAGCTATCAGCGGCAGGGGCAATAAAAGCATCAGGGAATCTGCTAAGCAGAATCTCTCTTCTTGCAGGGTGCTGCTGCCGTTATTATTTATCCTAATTATTATTATCCTCTATTCTGAGACTCCAGTGAGGAAACAGGATAGTAGAAACATCGAGGTAAAAAACGGAACGAATTTTGGGCATATTTCATTCAAATTCCGCCGTGTTCTCTAAACTGAAACAATACTGGGGGATTATACTTTTAAAAACATTACCTTTATAAATAAATACACTTAATAATGAAATAAAAAATGTAGAAAATAAAGGTATAGCAACAATCACAATTCACTTTTAAATTTGAAGAAAATACTGAGTTTTCCAGGCTACATATAAGCTAAATACAAATGCCAACGCTGGTAATTTCCAGGAGCTAGGTACAAGCCTGCCCACAAAGAAAAGCTTGAATTCACGCAAAACCTGAATTCAGAACCAACTTTGGGCCGGCCAGTACCCGCGCGAGGTGCTCTTAGGCACATTTTCACATTTCAGTGAGTCTGGAAGCAGAAAGTTAAAAGGCTGAGAGAGGCCATTACTGGGCAAGCAGCAGCGGGCAAAGAGAAGCAGGGCTAAGGGATTAAAACATCAAAGGCCTTGCTACAAAGCCCGGCGCAACCGGCCAGCTGTCACAAGATTCGCAAAAGAAGCCCTTGAGAAAGTTGCCGGCGCACAGGAACTCTGCAAAAATACAAAGTCACAGCACCCGCAACTACCGCTCAAAATGGCGCCGCCGCCCCGCCCGCTCCTTGGCGGCCGCGCGCGCGGCCTCACGGCGGCTACGCGCCTGCGCGAGGGCGGGCGGCGGGCGCGCGGGCGCGCGCGGCGGGGGCGGGCTCTACTAAGCGCCCAGTTGCAGCCGCGGAGCCGGACGTGTCCGCGAAGATGGCGGGTCGGGTGAGTGCCGGCCCCGAACTTGCGGCTGGAGGCGGGGGTGCCGGGCTCGCGGGCACTCTGAGGTCCGGACGGCCCAGGGGAGGGGGGGTGAGTCTGAGCAGATGGGGGGTTGGAGGGCGGCAAGCCAGAGAAGGGTTTGAGGGTAAGAAGGGGGAGCGGTGGCAGGGGATTAGCCTTCCTCAGAAACTCCATCCCCCTAAGGAAGCTCGAGGGGAGGTGACCCCCTCACTACCATGGGTCTCCTGGGTCTCCTTTAATTCTCCCTTCCCATCCTTTGGGGCTTGTTACCCGCGTCCCCCAAGCCAGCCGCAGGACTGTGGCGGTCCCAGTCCGGTCGGACGGGCTCTGGGGGTTTCTCCGCACCCCCTTGCTAGGGCTTATTAGGTGCAGCCGTTGGAATAACTGCGGGGGATCCGTCTGCTGCGTTGGGGGCGAGGGCTGTGGGAAGGATCATTAGGAACCCATTTGAGTGAAAGGTCTTGTGAAAGGAGGAGGAGGTGCAAATGACTTTTAGTGTTAAACCCCAGCCACCTGGGGGACCTGTCACTGTCGGAACAGGCAGGAATGTCTTCAGCTTGGAGTGGGGATGCATTTGGGGTGTCGCGTTTTGTATTTATGAATGACAGTCGCTTTGAATGCAGCAGGTTATGTTATAGTTTCAGGGTTTTAAATTTTACTTCCTCCTTTAGCCTCTTAAGATCGCGGTGTAGTGTGGGTTTGGTAAGGGGAGATAGGGCTGGTTCTGTGCTGTACTGCAGTGTGTGTTGAGCTAAAAGCTCTCTGAGGGATGGATCCTGCCCAGAGATTACACTGGTCATAAACCTGGGGACGTTAACTGCGTCACTAGGGGATAAGGATGTGCTTGACTGATTTATTTATACTGGAATATTTGAACAAGTTTGTATAGATTTACGCACGCATGCAAATGTCCTATCTAAAAGAAATTGTAAGTCCTGAGATGATGGAGTGAGAAGAGACCTTAAAGGTCATTTAATTTGACCTCTTTCTCTTCCTTTTCCCCATAGCTTCTCCTTTTATTTATGGCTACTTCCTCTACCATGCTTTAGCTTCTCTTTTTTCCCACCCAAGGAACCCCCACTCCTGTGCATTCACCTGTTCCCTCTCAACATACTTAAGCTTCTCCCACCTTAAGACAAACCCTCCCTCCACCCCCACAGTTGTCTCCTTTCTCTTCCCATTTTTCAGCCAGATATTTTGATAGAATTGTGTACATTTATCGTCTTTCATTTGCTTACCACCTACTTACCCCTCAGCCCACTGCGGTCTGATTTCTGGCCCTATCAGTCCACTGAAACGTGCTCCTAAACTTAATTAACATTTTTCATTCTTTGATTGGATGTCTCCACAGCATTTGACATTGTTGACCATAGCCTCCTTCATGGAAAACACTCTTGCCATGGTTTCTGTGCAGCCTTGCTCCTGTTTTTACTCATACCTCTCTTTTGCAGACTCACCCTCCTCTACCCTGTTATTCAATGCAGATATTCCTCAAGGCTCTCTTCTCCATTTTCTCTTTGGGCGATCTCTTCTAAGCCTACAGCTTCAACTACCATCTGTATGCCAGTGATTCTCAGTATTTGACTCCCAGTCCAGATCTATCCTTTAAGTTGCAGATCAATATATCAAACTGCCTATTAAAAATCGAGGCACCTCAAACTCTACAGTTTACATCCAAACCCATGATCTTAGCCCACCTAATTAGTACTTTTCCTGTTTTCTGTTTCAGTGAATGGCATCACCATCCATAGGCTGGAAACCAGTGGGGGGTGGGGAGGTGGTGGTTGCGGTGGTGGTGGTCAAGGTCATCCTTTATACTTCTCTCTCACCACATCCTCTGCCCCCCAGTAAAATTCATCACTGAGTTCTGTTCCACCCACCCCACCCCTTCCCTAAAAGGGTATTATTAGGGCCGAAGACTCTGGCTTGGGCATTGCTGCCTTTTTTTTTTTTTTTTTTTTTTGAGATTTTATTTATTTATTTGACAGAGAGAGACACAGTGAGAGAGGGAACACAAGCAGGGGGAGTAGTAGAGGGAGAAGCAGGCTTCCTGCAGAGCAGGGAGCCCAATGATCCCAGGACCCTGGGATCACACCTGAGCCGAAGGCAGATGCTTAACTACTGAGCCACCCAGGTGCCCCAGGCATTGCTGCTTTAAACTATACCCAAATAACCCACTGGACTGCTGGTCGTGTGGGTTCTGTCATTTTAATATCCTAAAAATCTCTTCAATCTCTCTGCCTCTCTGCATCCTCATTTCCACCTCATTTCCCCAAACTACCATCATTTGTGGTTTGGACTACTTCAGGAAGCTCACTAGAGGTCTCTTTACAGCATTTTCCACATTGCTTGTTTCCTCCCCTGTCTGTTGGTACTTAAACCCCTGCCTCAATAGCATCAGGTTACTTTTGGGAGATCAGTCCAAACTGGGCCTATAAGGCCCTTTGTGGTTCTTCTACTCCTGCTTTTCTCTACTCACTGCCTTACTCTCTATGCTCAGGTTATATAAACCATTCAGTTCCTTGAACTTTAGTAGTTTCTCTTACCACAAGGTCTTTGCACGTACTGTTTCCTTTCTTTGTGATGTTCTGTTCCCAACCATTTACCTCCTACTCATAGATCACTCATCTACTCAAGGGAAGCCTGTTCTGATCCCACACAAGTCATGATCCTTTGTTATATGCTCTTGAAGAACTAACTGTATTCCTTTCCTTAGAGATTTATGTTTGTCATTTTAAATTTATTGGTGTGGTTATTTGCCTTTACCATTTATCTTCCATGAAAGAAGAGACCATGTTAGTTTTTTATTCATTATCATCACCTGTGCTTTGCACACTGCCTCAGCCCTAGGTGCTCAATACATTTTTGTTTAAAATGAAACTAATCTAATCTCTGCTTGAATACTCTAGCAGTAGAGGGTGCATCACCACTAAAGCTAACCCATTTTAGTGTCATGTTAGAAAGGTCTTTTTTATATGGAGTTCCATATAATTTTTAGCTGTTTAGAGCTACATAGAACTAACACAATTCCTTTTCCATATGATAGTTCCTCATATATTTGAAGACAGGTTACACATTCGCTCAGATTTTCTCTTTTGCAAGTTAAACATCCCCAATTCCTCAAATATTCTGTATTCCAAACCCTTCATCACTTAGGTTACCTTCCTTTGGAAATGCTGTTTTGCCAATGTTTCTTCTAAAATGTGCCCCAAGTGGAACACAGTGATTAGTGAAGAATATGCTGAACTCTTAATCTCTCGAGCTAGACACTACCATTATTAATACAGGGTATTTGCTTTTTTTCTGCAGTATATCACACTCTTGGCTCATAATGAGCTTGCACTCAATTAAAACTCTCATATTCTTTTAAAATGGGCTCCTCCACACCATTCTATGTATTGTGCAGTTTTATTGAACCTAAGTATAAAACCTTACATTTATCCCCTTTACAATTTTTTTTTTTTTTTTTTTTTTTAAGGTTGGGGCCTATTTACTGCTTGTTCAGGGTCTTCTTGATTCTCCATTCTTTCATGATTCTCCATTCTTCTCCATTCTCCATTCTTATGCAACATAGTAGCTCTGTCTGCCGATTTTGTTTTCACCTGTAGGTTTAAAATCATGACTTCTGTGTCTACATTCAAGTCATTGATAATAAGGAGAATAAGATGGGTCAGAAATAGCCCTTGAACATGCTGTTAGAGACCTTCCTCTAGACTGATACACATCAATATACTTTGGGTACCATTACTTAAATACAAACATATTTCATTTAATCCTGACAAAACCACCCTGCAAGCTAGGCAGTATTAATATTGTTTTTCTCAGAGTTAGGGGCTCGTTAATTTGCCAGGTTCACAACTAACAAGAAGCAGGGTCAGGATATGAATTCAGCTCAGTTTGCTACAATTACCTGCTTCACCAATTTAGTTGCAAGGGTCTAGAGAAGAGTAGATTTACCTTACCTAGAACTTTTGGAGGTTGCTGCCAAAGTTTGATTTTCAAAAACTACCTTCTATCTTTTGGAAAATCTGAACACCTTTGCCCATCCCTGATTGTCTTGTTTTTTCCGATAACCATAATTTCCTAGTAACTACTTATTGTTGTTTAACAAATAGAGTTAGCCTTGTTGTGATGCTTTTAAAATGAGTTCTGAATTTCCTTTTTGTGGGAGAAAAGCTATTTTGACTTATTACTGCTTTTGGTTAGTTTAATTTTGGCATTCTGGTATCTTGTAAATGGTATTTATATTCACTATGTAATTGAAGGGTTTTTTATTTCACTGTATCATTATATCACATGTATCACTGGTAGCATTAGTAACCTGTCTGTATGTCCTTTGCTTTTTCTGGGCAAAAGAGAGCATCATGTTTAGTTCATCTGGGAAATTGGCTGAAGAATAAAATGTGTGGTATTATTCAATAAATAGCATCTAGGTCATCAGAACTTGATTAATTCCTAAAATATCTTGAAGCTCCTAATCTGAAAAGCAAAGAACCTGAAAGAAAATAATTTTTGTCATTATCTTCTTTAGTGTATCTACTATATGAGAAAAAAATATGGAATTGTAAGTTGGATACGTTTTATAATAAATGATGAATCGATTTAAACGTACTTGATTTCCTTTGGCCTTTCCAAAGATTGAATTAGGTAATAAGTGTTCTTGGCTGTCTTAAATTTTTGCTGGTAATAAAGCAGATTCTATAGTTCTAATTCTTATTACTTACATTTAATACAGACTCTTATTTATAAATGAACTCCCCATACAGATGGCTACCACTGCCCCAGGCCTCCACACTGTCTACCAGAACTCTTACGCTACAGCTTCTCTGGAATCATAGAATCAGTAGAGGAAAGAAAGAATCTGAAATACAGCCTTAAATGTTTAGGAGAGCTGACTCTAAGTGTAGAGGCTCCTTAGTAAAGCTGCTCTATTTGGTATTGCTTTCTTGGCCCCTACTATCACCACCACCACCTGGTTACTGAAAAAAAAAGAAAGGCTTTCCACATTGCCTGAACTTTTTTGTACTCTGTCTTTTAAAATTGCCAGAAATTTCACTTCCTGGGGACTC